CACTAGCCACAGGGCAGGCAAGGGGCTACTTCCCCCACCCTGCGCTCAGCACCACATTGTAACCCAACCCCACTGCCAGCCTGCGCCCTGCGCTGGCTCCGGGCTCACCCGCTGGGACTGTGTGTGGTGACAGCAGCTGCAGTCCCCCCGCTTGCTGTGCTGGGCAGTGTTTGCCACTGCCGCCTGTGGGCTACCCAGTGTGTGCTCTGGGCGGGCAGCAGCAGCCAACATTACCTGGTTCGGCAAGAAGGGGGGCAACAGTTGCTGCCACCGACGGGCAAGCCCAGAGTTGGTGTGGAGCCCAGGCTGGCAGCGGGGCTGAGTTACAAGCTGGTGCTGAGTGTGCGGAAAAGCGGCCCCTCGTTCACCCCATGGGCAGCACCCCACACTGTAGCTGCTTGCAGCCTGCATGGGGCTGCCTGTGCCTGCTCCAGACAGTCCTGCATGGGCTGCGAGCACCTGCAGCAGGGAGCACCAGCCATGGGGGCCGCTTTTCCCTGCACTTAGCACCAGCTTCCTCCCTGCCGGCAAGCAGGGGATCAGGGCTGTGCACTGCCCCCCACCTGTACTGCAGGGCTAGGGGCACTGGGAGTGAGCAGGTGCAGGAGCCAGCAGGAACACAGGATCCACACCGGTGTCCTGGGGCCAGTGCTAGCGAGGCCCAGAGCAGGGTGGCAGGCGCACGGGGTCCCAGCCAGCAGGGGCTCTATGGAACTGGGTCAGCTCCACCCTCTTCCTGCTGGTGCATCCCAGCCCAGTTCCACAGACCCCTGCCAGCCTATGCACTGCTTTGGGCCCCACTGGTGCTGGCCCTGGGATGCTGGTCCCAAGATGGTGACCAGGGTGTGAGGCACCTGTCAAGGGGTGGGGCACCTGTCAAGGGGCAGGGCTACCTATGCATCCCTCAACAGCCTCCAAAACTGGGTAAGTGACCCTCCACATGAAATAATTGCCTCCCCTTGTTCTTGACTCTTCTATTGACCAGTGTGTCCCATGGGACAAGTGAGTCTTACCTCTATGCTTCATATTCCACAAATATTCCATAGTTTCATAGTAGCTAGGGTCAGGAGGGAGCTGAACAGATCATCTAGCCTGGTCCCTGCCATAGGCAGGAATGAATACTGGGTTCACAAGACCCCAGACAGGTGATCATCTAACCTCTTTTTGAATTTACCCAAGGTAGGGACGTGGACCACTTCTCTAGGAAGTTGGTTCCAGATTCTGGCCACCCTAACTAAAATATTTCCTCCTGATCTCTAACCTAAACCTATTCTCCATCAGCTTATTACCATTGTTCCTCATCACCCCAGGTGGTTCTGGGGAGAATAAGGCTCTTCCTATATGCTGATGATCTCCCCTGATGAGTTTGTAGGCAGCCATTATGTCCCTCAGCCTCCTCTTGCCGAGGCTGAACAGGTTCAGGTCCCTCAATCTCTCCTCATGGGGCCTGCCCTGCTGCCCTCTCACCAAATGGGTGGCCTTCTTCTGAACTCTCTCCAGGTTGGCCATATCCTTTTTAAAGTGCAGCGCCCAGTAGTGGATGCAATACTCGAATTGTGGCCTGACCAAAGTCGCATAGAGGGGGAGTATTATCTCTCTGGACCAGCTTGAGATGCATCTTTGGATGCATGACAAGGTATGGCTGGCCTTGCTGGCTGCGGTCTGGCATTGGCGGCTCATGTTCATCTTGGAGTCAATAATGACTCCGAGATCCCTTTCCGCCTCTGTGCTTTCAAGAGGGGAACTCCCCAGCCTGTATGTATGCTGTGGATTCCTTCTCCCAAGGTGCAGCACCCTGCATTTATCTACGTTGAACCCCATCCTATTCTCATCTGCCCACTTCTGTAGTCTGTCTAAAGCTAGTTGCAGCCTCTCTCTCCCTTCAAGTGTGCCCACCTCGCCCCACATCTTAGTGTCATCAGCAAACTTGGACAATGTGCTTTCAATCCCCTCGTCCAAGTTGCTGATGAAGATGTTAAACAGTGCAGGCCTGAGGACTGAGCCCTAGGGGTCCCCACTGCTCACATCTTGCCAGGCTGAGTACAACCGTCCATCACCACTCTCTGGGTGCGCCCCATCAGGCAGTTTTTTACCCATCCAACTGTGTAGGCATCAATGCCACAGTCGCTTAATTTATTAATGAGAATGGGGTGAGAGACAGTGTCTAAGGCCTTCTTAAAGTCTAGAAAGACTGTCCACAGCAACACCATCAACCAAGGATTTAGTTACTTGGTCATAAAAGGCAATCAGGTTAGTCAGGCAGGACCTGCCTTTGGTGAAGCCATGCTGATTGCCCCTAAGCATGATCTCCCCTGCTGGCCCCCCACAGATGTGCTCCTTGATGATTTTCTCCAAGATCTTCTCGAGGACCGAGGTGAGGCTTACGGGTCTATCGTTACTTGGGTCCTCCTTCCCTCCTTTCTTAAAAATGGGGACCACATTAGCTAGTTTCCAATCCCCCAGCACCTGGCCAGGTGACCAGGAATGCTCATACAGCTGGGCCAAGGGCTCTGTGATGACCCCTGCCAGCTCCCTCAACACTTTTGGGTGGAGGGTATTTGGACCTGCAGATTTAAAAATGTCCAGCCTTTCTAAAAGATCCTTAACTACATCTGCACTGACTGAAGGCCTGACAGAGCTATCCCCGAGATTGTCCCTACCTCTGGCAGGAGGGATGTCCTGGTCTCTGTTCAAGAAAACAGGGGCAAAGAAACTGTTAAAAATATTGTCTTTCTCATCTGGCGTAGCCACAAGGTTACCATTTGAGTCTTGCAGGGGCCCTACATTGCCTGGTGCCCTCTTCTTGCTCCCAATGTACTTGAAAAAGGACTTTTTGTTGTCCTTAATCCTGGACGCTAGCCCGAGTTCCATCTCTGCCTTGGCCTTCCTAATAGCCCTCCTACATTCCCAGGCTGAGGAGGAGTAGTCCTCCTTGGTGATAGCTCCTCCCTTCCACTGGTTGTACACCCCCCTTTTAGTCCTCAGGCATTCCAATAATCCTGTGCCTTGAAAAGCATCTTATGATAGTTAAATAACATATGTGATAGAAGAGTTTAAATGACCATAATAATTCTAAAATATAATAGATTTCATCTTCTAGTATAAGCTAAAATGTGTTTCATGGAGAATATTTTACATTCTTAATGTCTCAGAGCTTTAACTGCTATTCTTATTTTATGCCTATACCAATGTTTTGTTCCAAACTTCTTGTTAAAGCATTTCCATTTGTTTAAGAGGTTTTGACTTGGTTGCAGTCATGGCACAATAGTTGTATTACTCAAAGTTAGACTACTTGTCAAATGTAAAACTGTGATTTTCATTTTTTGCAGCTAAATCTACTCTAACATCTCTCAGTGAGATGATTTCCTGTCATATGAATGCCAGTTGACATGCTTGTCAGTTATGTGAATTCTTACAAATATTCCAGAGTTAAAGAACTCTGATTCATTTTTATAAAAGCATTGTAGGATAAAAGATCTTTGGTTTTGGATGTTTCTAATTTTTACTTTATTATGTTACAGTCATTTTATCTATTCTCTGGTCCTGCAGAACCGGAGAACGCACATACACACTTGAATTGTAATATGTGTGATACAGCCACATGCTGTATGATGTATATAGTATTAGCTATAAAGGCCCCAGTTTTCTTGCAATAATGTTTGAGCAATATGGCCTCTGGGGAAATTTGAGTAGATGAGAAGGTAAAATCTATCCCTCCAACACAGGGCAAGGTTTGCCAGGTGACAGTCTGACACAATTTGAGCTGGAATTGCTTCTCCAGATCCATTTGAAAAACTTCCACAAGACTTTTGGGTTACTATAGTTGTTTGCATATACATATCCCAAGATCTTGGACCTTCCATCTCATAGTCCTTTGAAATGGCCTATGCACAGATGTTTAGGCAGCCATTGTGGTAGTTCTTATACCATGATGATAGCATTATGCATAATCTGCATTCCAGGGGTAAACTTCACCTCAAAACAAAATGACCTATCCTCAAACCTTTCATAAGTCTAAGGTGGAACCTCCATGTAGCTTGCTTTTTATTTGCTTACACTAGTTAGATTTATCCAGCTTGCCAAATGAGTTAAGATAACATGGTTACAAGGTAAGCTGAATAGATCTATTTAAAAAAACAAAAGTGGGACATTGTGACATAAATAAAGTTTTGTTTTCCTTAAAAAAAAAAGAAAATATTTCTAATTAAAACTCATGTATATGGGACCTAATTGTGCAATCCTTCCTCGCATTCCTAAACAAATTTGCTAAGTTGTATAAAGAACCCTTCAAAAACTGATCTTATACTTTAAAATAGAAGAAATATCCTACATATAGGCACTGCATGTCTTTCATAATAGAGTAGAATAGCTGCAATCTTACTTTTTGTTCATTAAAATGTCTATCAGGAGCTAAAGAAAAATGTTAGGGGCTGCAGTTAGACTGGCAAGTTGATCAGCTGCTGCTGTACAGGACTCATAATATCCACTACTTGTCATGATTATGATTTTCTCCAAAGACAAGTGACACCTTCTTTTCTAGGACTAAAGAGGAAAAGGAGAGATTTAACATCACCAGGGATCTACACTATCTAGTTTGAACAACAGAAGAAATACATCAAAAACTTTAAATCATTGCTTAACAAAGAACACTGACAGACCTGATAAAAGAAATAGAAGATTCTATTTTGATTATGTTTCAGAAAACATTGCTATCATTTTATACTGCAAACTCTCTTTATATGCAGCAAAAATATTCTCTTTGAAATACAACAGAAACTTTGCTGATTTATTCTTCTCCCTATTTCTTATTGCTAGGGGAAAGAAGACTGGCCATGATGTAGATTTTTTGATCACCAATCCAGGACCAGAGGAAGAAAAAGAACTTTTACATAAAGTGGTTGACTTATGGGAAAAACAGGTAGAATATTTTTTAAAAAGTAAAAAAATATTTTGAGATGAAAGAATGAACTTACCAACAGTGGAGTCAGCACTGGAGCCTTGACAGAAAATGGTAATTCATCATTGGAGGCTATTTCAAAATTTGGTATCATTCTGCTTTGAAATAACAATAATAAAAAAGGGAAATTCTCCATGATGTGGAATTTCAGTTCTTCCCTAGCTCTGTGGGTAGCCTGAGCTCCAGGGTGGTCTCCTTGATGGGTTACCCAAGAACTAGTGAGTACCAGGTGCTCAGGACCCCACAAGGTGATAGGCCTCCCAGAGCCTCCATGTTTCTGGTTCCACAGCAGTCTAGCAGGCCAGGCTCCACTGGACACCTGTCTAGTTCCCATTGAAAAAAAAAAAATGGTCCTGCAGAATGTTTTCATGAATCAGCAAATTTTGATGAAAAAATGTTTCAACCTTTTTTTTTCTGACTATCACTATTCAGCACTGCAAACATTTATTTTATTTTTAGCTATGTTATCAGTGCTATAGAGATGCTTATACTGTTAATATTTAACTCTTTTTGGAAAGATCTAAATACTAGCTGATACAACGGGCTCATAATATTAGGTCAATACATGTATTCTGTTGGAAATAAGCAGTGTATTAGTGCTTGTATTAGCATACTAATAAAATATCTTTATAAGTTTAATTTTGCACTAAGCTTTTTCATATGGAGTGTAATATTGTTTGCATTTGAGAAATGTACACTCACTCTTCAAAGTCTGTTTTCTTTGTATTGAAAACATTTTGGCTATTTGCAGACATTTGGGGAGGTTAGATTGCATTAAAAATGGCCCCACAATCTAACTTAGTTCACCCAGATGCAGACTTTATACATAGACCTGGTTTCAGCAATCAGAAATTAATCTAAACCCCATAACATCAGTACAGTTACCTGCACAGCCCCAGGGCTGGGAAATCCCAGCTGCTAGCCCCAGTCCCAGGGTTGTACTTTTCTGATCTGCCTATCCCCTCCACAAGCCACTCCAGGTACTGGTTTTATCAGCTATTATGGATGCTGAGAGCCAAGAAAGTAAGTATTGTTGAGGGGAGAGGCAGGAGGGATGCGGGTAGGTCCCCTGCAAGCCTCCCTGTGGACCCTGTGAGCTGTTCTGATCGTGCCAAACCCTCCCAGACCCCAGGAACCCCCTGTGGACCCTGTCTACTCCCCTGATTGCTTCTGCTGATCTTGCCTGCTCCCTGATTCTGCCTTCTCCATCCCCCTGATCACTTTCATGGATCCTGCTTGTTCCCCCATGAGCCCCCCCCCCAACTTACGTCATATCAGGTAGCCATTTTTACTGCAATCTAACCTTCCCCCTGAATGTCTGCACTTAGCCTTAGCCTTGTGTAAAAGGACAGTTCTCTTTTTTGAAGTTTCATATGCCCTGTAGCTAAGCAAGATCAGCTTTCAGAAAGCCTGGTTATTGATCAGTTCTGATATCTACATATTCAGGGGTGGGTAATTGTTTTGGCTGGAGGGTGGCTTAATGAGTTTTGGCAAGCTGTTGGGGGTCTCATAGGTAGCCGTGCCCCTTGCCAGGTGCCCTGCCCCCTGTTTGCCATCTTGGGGCCAGAAGTCCCACCCCCCAACCTCTGACCTTTGCCACCAGAAGTCTCTCCCCTTGCCCATGGAAGTACTCCTTTCAGCAAGGGGTTTGCTATCTTGGAACCAGAAAAAAAAATTCTAAAAATCAAACATCTACTACAACATACATTATTTGATTTCAAAAAATATTTTTGTCCTGATTTACATGTGGTTGCATAGTATACATAGAGGTGATTGCATAATAGCTTAAATAAAGTCTTGTATATTGTGGGAGGTGTGGGGGTATGGGTGGGTGGGCATAGGTTTGTGGGGGGCTGTAGGTATGTGTGTATGTGGGGTGTAGGGGAGGCTGTGGGCATGTTTGGGGTTTGTTGGGGTGGTAAATAGGTGTGGGGGTGTGTGCGTGGGTGTGGGTGAGTATGGGGAGCATGTGGGTGTGTGCGTGTAGATATGTGGGGTGTCCATGGAGATCCTGTCAGCCTGGGCTTCACTCTCCTGTCACCCTGCCCTGGGACCCCATTGTCCCTGGCCCTGGGGCACCCACCCACTGCCAGTTTTCTCCCCACCTGCTGCCACTTCCCTGCCCACCCGTCACTCCCTGCACCTATCTGTCACTGCTTCCCACCTGCCTGCCTGCTGCTCCGGCACCATGTGGTTCCTGGCTGGCTCCAGATGTGCACTGTGTGATGCTGGAGCCAGCCTGGCCTGGCCAGAACTGCACAGAGCCAGCCAGGAATCATAGGGGCTGGGCCGGCTCCTGCTGCAGCAGGAGGGAG